GATTTGAATATATCAATAAATAATTGACAGCTGAATTTTTGTGAAGCTGTGTTTTTAATAATTGATGGCACTGTATATCAACTCAAACGACACCTTGACAAACGAAATGTTTTCGCTTGCATCCCTGCGGCAGCTAAACTATAACAACAAAACGAAGAAGAAGGAGAAGAAGACGAAGAACAAGCAGAGGATGGGAGAACAGCAAACAGGAGTCCTGAGTCCTGTTATTGCTTGCCAATACCGAGAAGGAGCCTGTTTGAGCGCGCCGGCAGCGAGTATTGTGGCTTGTCCATTTTGATTATGCTGTTGCCAAAGGCAAAAGGCAAAGTGCCAAAAAACCAAAGGACCAAATGTCCTCTGCCAAAGCAGAGCCCAGAAGCTTTTTGCAGCAATTTGGGGGAGTCTAAGAACGGCAGGTAGCCTTAGGGAGCGATACAGACACGTGCTAATGCCGCACACAATTGCAATTAGTGTCAGTGTGTGGGCAACGTGTGGCAGCTGTGTGCCAGGTTGTCTCTGTCTCTGCATCAGCCTGGTAGCTGCATCCTGGCACCAGGACATTTGCATAGCCACACAGCAGGCAGCAAGCGGCACCTTAAAAGGAATGCCAACAACAAAAATAACAACAAAAATTTGCACAATATCAAGGAGTTAGCAGATAGAACGTTGGCGTCGCTTGGCATGTCCTTTTCGTCCTGCCCGTTTGTTATGCTTTAAGATTGGAGCTGGCAGCGATTTTGACTCTCAGCTTTCTTAAGCTGATTTCAACTTGTGACGTTTTTTGTCGCCAGCTGTTTGGCTTTACATTGAACAAAAAGCTGCAACGGAAATTAGAAATTGGTTGCTAAAAATTAAACATTTGTTCAAAAATACAATTGAAGATTTGCCAAATCGAGTTAATGTTTTCATTTTTCTCAGTAGTGTTGAACTGTAGCTGCACAATTTAATGAATGCTCAACATTGTTCTCACCTTCAGCTGAAATTTCAGTTGTTAAACTCAAATTATCTGCATAAAAGTTGTAAAATGTTTTGCTTTACAGCTCATCAGAGCAATGAAGCGCTGCATGGGGACGGGTGGTGGTGTAGTAAAAAGTTAACAGCTTTTGTGACAAAGCAAATTAATTGCTGCCCAGTTTCAATTAACTTGCTGCAAGCGGACACAAAAACGAGCCGCACAGTTCTCAACCAACTTCATCAGCAACCGCAAGTGTCGACTGAATGTTGCTATTGCTGTTGCTATTGTTGTCGCGGGGACTATTGCAGCGCAAAGCCAATTCAATTAATTTCAATCGCCATGCATATGACACCTATGGTCCACTGCACACACACCCACATACCCACACACCCTCCCTCGCACACCCAAGCGCGATGAGTTTCCCATCGCCCAAAAAAGTAGGCAACACTTTTTATAAGCAATGCAAACGAATGTTAAACGTTGGCAAAACTGGGTTACCAATGCATAAGGGGGTGCTTGGGGAGGGAGAGTGGGGTGCACAAGCAGAGAATGAGTGTAGCTTTGGCTCTTTGGCTCAGATCGCTGACAATTGCAACGTTAAAAAATAGCAACTGACTGTTGCACTCAGCAAAAAAGCTCAATTCAAAAATTCAATTTGTGGCTTACCAGTCGTTACTTTTATCAGACGCAGACGGTTGGTTGCCCATAGAAAATCAAAAATATAAGACTGAACTACCAGCGAGTTTTTCCGATTTTTTAAAGATATATACTAGATATCCAACTGACAATCTTTTTTTTAGAAAAATCTTACATTTTTGCTTAGTAAGCAGAAAAGTGTTTCATTTCTCAATAGATCGGTCCAAAGCCAGAAAATGGGCAAAAGGATATATTCTAAGTTTCATACAGGTAGTTCTCAAACTGATATATATAAATAAATAAACAAATTAATACTCGTTCAAGATTGCAGGTTAAATATCTGTCCTAAATAACTATCTTTGTGATGAATTGCCACTCTAAGCTTCAAAGTCATAAAACAAAAGAATCAAAAAAAAACGAATAAAAAATGCAAATGAGCAGACAGTTTTGAAATATGTTTCTTATCAGCAAGTTTACTTTAAATGTTTAAGCCAACCACGCATGGAAATGGCGTTTTAATATTTATTCAGATGTTTGGCTGCCCCACAGCGGATCATAAGCCATCGGAATGGTTGGCTGATTGCGTGGGAGGAGTCAGGATGGAGAACTATGGCATATACAACATATGAATGCAGGTGTTGCAAGCACGCGCAGCGGAAGTCACGTGACGTGTTGTGTGACACGTACGCCACAGCAGCAGCAACAGCAGCAACAGCAGCAGCAGCTGGATCTGCTTCTGTTTGCTGTCGCTGTTGCTGTTTCAATTTGGCCAAGACATGACGTACAAATGAGGGAGGCGGGGATGTGGTGCAAGAGCAGCAGGATTAAAGCAAATGCAAACTCGCCTCATTAAAATAACTCCGAGCAGTTGTGTGTGATACATCCTGTGGCAGGAATAACGGACTGGGTCTCGGCCCAGTTCCGGGCTAAATAATTTAATTTGGCTGCAAAAAATGGCCAACGGGCTTAAGTAAAGACCACGCGGCGTATGAGCAACGCTCGCTCATTTTTATTTAACGCCCGCCTAACCGGAAGCCAGTGCCTCGTTTGGCTCCAGTAACAAGGTCTGCCTGCTAGTGAGTCTTAGTTCTATGGGGAGCTCAGGTGCTGCCAGCTGCCGTTGCAAGTGCAGGCAACGCATGTTGCACGGCGCTAATGTAGCCAGTCATGAAATCACAATGCCTCCCCACGTTCCACCAGGGTGTGCCAAACATGCATGTGAACAGCAGCAGCGTAACTAAAATCGCAATGCGGCCCTGCCAACTCGTTAAAAAAAAAAAATGTTTAAATAAAAAACAAAATACAATGAACTGAACACAACCAGAGACTGAAAAAAATTGTATACCCTCATTGAAATTATGTGAAAAGGTTATAATGAAGTTGTGCAAAATCATGTAAAAGTTTCTCCGATCCAACAGAGTATATATATTCATGATCAACAAATTTTAGACCATAAAAGAGAAAACACTTCAAATTTAGACAGTCTAATGCGTAGATGGAATTCATATGCAGTCGAATTTATTTGTAAAATCCAAAGTAAACAATTCAAAAATAAACTTTATCAAACTCCAGACAAATAAGTGGCAGTAGAAAAATATATAAATATTTCTATTTATAGCAAACGAGTTTGAAAATATCTTATCTTGTGATAAAAACATAATTGAATTTGATGATTGAGATTCAGCTTTATCCTTTCACTCGTTAATACAGCTTATATTTAATTTTTATACATATTTAAGATTGTAAGCGAAATATATACTTTTCGTCAGTTTATAACCATATACATTTTCAAGTATTAATAAAAATGTGTACTTAAACTAAAGCAAGTGTCAAAAGCAAGATACCTTTAACGATAACAAAAATTTAATAGAACAAAAAGAAAAAAGGTAAGAAAAATATGAAAAATTGTGCAACCAACTTCATGGCGAATGTCAGCAAGTTTGTGGCAAGGAAGTGGGGCTAGATGGGACGTTCGGTGGCAGCAACACCCGCCAGCGTGAAACTGCATGGCTGGCTGGGCATAAAAATGGCATGGGAAGAGTACGGTAAAAGTTGGAGGGAGGACGGCAACATACTGAGCATGGCAGCATGTGTTGAAATGCAAAATTGGAGTATTTTTTTTTTGTTAGCTGTGCTCACGCTGACAAGCGTTGCTCATTAAATTTTATTTTATAATTACACACACCAACACACATGACACACACACACACACACGCACACAATACACTCGGGCGCAGACGCATGTTTAGTTTTTGTCCGGACTTAATGTGTTGGTTGCCTCGTAATTGGGCACAGAGCAGACGCAGTTTTTGATATGCCCCCGATTTTGTGGCAGTTTAGAATATTTTTTGCTCGCTCTAAAACAACAACAACAACAGCAACAATAACCACAACAATAATAACAACTTGGAGCTGTGCACAGCAATGGGCATTTAAGTATTTGGTCAGTGGGTGATTAAAGTAAAGTGTTTCAAAAGTTAATTGGCACTCTAATACTGAAATAACAACCAAAACACAAAAACAACACGCATAAAACCAACAACAACTAAAATAGTTAGGACCTGTTATGTTAGACGCTTGACCAACCAGCCAAGTGGCCAAAACCCGGCCCAAAAACCGATTTGACGCAAACGTTAACTATCGGCACATGGTTGTCATTTAATCAGAATTACCTCGGCACACTGGTTACAAAATAATAATAATTAAAAACATGCGCATCTTATCATAATATATTTTTAAATGCTTAGAGAAACATTTACTTAATTCATCGAGATATAATTGAAGTTCTTTTCATTACAAATTTTATGGCATTATAATTTTATCTTAAGGCTATTTGCCAGCATATTCAGGAAAACATTAATATCCAAAAAATATATCGAAACAGAACTTAATATCAAGCTTTCAACTCATTAATAAGCTGTGTAATTTAATTAATTTTAATTGGAAAGTTTTATTCTGATATTTTATGGCTTTTCCATTTAATTAATATATCGAAAATACTTGTGGTGAAATATATAGATTTTTGTAAACTGAAAACTGAATAGAAATGATCACAAATAATTGTTGTTTTACCAAAATAATAATTGGTTAGTAACCAGTGTGCTGTGGGCAAGGTACTTGGCCGTAATGGTTGGCCAGTCTCGGCCTTTTTTGCTAGTTGTTGCGGCTGTTAGACCTCAATTTGATGTTATTTTCAAATGTCGATGGCACACGCCGCTGAACCGTCAGTAGTTGAATGACGGGCAGTATAATTGAAAATTGCTATTGGCAACTTAATGGGCCCATTTAACGAACCCGACTTTTGCGACCTTAATTACAATGTGTGTATGCTAACCCCAGACTCGAATAAAGTCAGCTAATATCCTGAATTACCTTACCTACTCTGCTACTTTCTTTTTTTTTTTTGTAGATTATCCACGCGTTGAGGTTGGGCCACAGAACCCACTGCGCATTGAACGCGATCACATTGCCAAACTGGATTGTCGGGTGGACGCCAAACCGATGGTGTCCAATGTTCGCTGGTCACGCAACGGACAATATGTGAGTGCCACCCCAAGTCACACGATCTATCGTGTGAGTCGCCATCATGCCGGCAAGTACACCTGCAGTGCCGACAATGGACTGGGCAAAACCGGTGAAAAGGACATCATATTGGATGTGCTATATGCACCGATTGTTACCATCGAGTCGAAGACCCACGAGGCCGAGGAAGGTGAAACCGTTTTGGTGCGTTGCAATGTGACAGCAAATCCATCACCAATTGCAATTGAGTGGCTCAAAGAGGGTGCACCCGATTTTCGTTATGCGGGTGAACAACTTACCCTGGTCTCGGTGCGGGCCGAGCATGCTGGAAACTATATTTGCCGCTCGGTGAATCTGATGCAACCGTATAACTCAAAGCGTTTAGAGGGTGTTGGCAACTCGACCGTTGCACTGCTGGTCCGTCATCGTCCCGGCCAGGCGTACATTTCGCCAAATAAGCCGGTAGTGCATGTGGGCAATGGCGTTACACTCAGTTGTTCCGCAAATCCACCGGGCTGGCCAGTGCCACAATATCGCTGGTTTCGCGACATGGACGGTGAGTTGAGCAACACGCAGAAGATACTCGCTCAAGGGCCGCAGTACTCCATACCGAAGGCGCATCTGGGTAGCGAGGGTCGCTATCATTGTCATGCCGTCAATGAGCTGGGCATCGGTAAGATGGCCACCATTGTGCTGGAGGTGCATCAGCCGCCACAGTTCCTGGCCAAGTTGCAGCAGCACATGACTCGACGTGTTGGCGATGTCGACTATGCTGTGACGTGTAGTGCCAAAGCGAAACCCACGCCACAAATACGCTGGATCAAGGATGGTACGGAAATATTGCCATCCCGTAAACTCTACGAGATACGCACCACGCCCACAGATGCGGGCGGTGGTGTGGTGACCGTACAAAGTATTCTACGCTTCCGTGGCAAGGCGCGTCCAAATGGAAATCAACTGTTGCCCGGCGATCGAGGACTCTTCACGTGTCTCTACGAGAACGATGTGAACTCGGCAAACTCATCGATGCATCTTCGTATCGAACACGAACCGATTGTCCTCCATCAATACAATAAGGTTGCCTACGATATGCGTGAATCGGCTGAGGTTATTTGCAAGGTGCAAGCCTATCCCAAGCCAGAGTTTCAATGGCAATTCAGCAGTAATCCCTCCCCACTCACCATGTCCTCGGATGGCCACTACGAGATCAGCACACGCATGGAGAACAATGATATCTATACATCGATCCTACGCATTGCACATCTGCAGCACTCCGACTATGGAGAGTACACCTGTCGTGCCGTCAATCCCTTGGACACCATACGCACCCAGATACGTCTGCAGCCGAAGGGCGCACCAGAGAAACCAAATGCTTTAAAGGTATTTTAACAATTTCTTGATTACTTGCTGAGAATCTTCAAAATTTCTTATTGATTGATTTCATTTTAAAGATTGTTGAGTATTTATCTCGAACCTGATCAGCTCAGGTTTTTTGAAAATCAGTTTGAGCTTAAGCAAAGTTATTGCTGTCGAAAATGTTGACCCATCCCTAAGAGTTATTTTTGAAGTTATACTTTAAACTTGAAAATCGACTCAGAATCACATTTCAACTTTAAGTGTAGTATTGATCAGAGGTCAAACCATGATCAAAAAGTCGAGATCTTAGAAAATCGATTGAGTGTTGACAAAGCTTTGGACCTGGAAAGTTTTGTATATTTGTATATATAACAAGGGAAACGAGTCAGAATAATGTCTTCAACTTTAAATGTAGCATTAATCTGCAATGCAAACCATAATAAAAATTCCTAGTTTTTAAAGATTTGACAAAGTTAAATGTCATAGTTTCATTTTATTATATCAATTAAAATAAAGCACTTAACAAATAATTATTTAAAGTTGGTTTTATGTATTTTCAAGTATATATTTGCTAAAATCATTACGTAAATTATTTTTTTTGTGTATTTAAAATAGGTACTCGAGGTGGCTCACAACTATGCAGTGCTCAGTTGGCAGCCGGGCTTCAATGGCGGTCTGCTAAACACCAAATATTTGGTCAGCTATCGACGGGTGGCAACGCCACGTGAACAACTGCTATCGGATTGCTCTGGCTTGGCTTATTCATCAGTCAATAGCTATCAGCTGAGCAGCTCGGGACAGGGTGGTGCTCACGAGTGGATTGAGTTCAATTGCTTTCGCGAGAATCCCTGCAAGCTGGCCCCACTCGATCAGCATCAGAGCTACATGTTCAAGGTCTATGCACTGAATGCCAAAGGCACATCGGGCTACTCCAACGAGATACTGGCCACAACCAAAGTGAGCAAAATACCACCGCCACTCCACGTCAGCTACGATCCCAATTCGCATGTGCTGGGCATCAATGTGGCCGCCACTTGTCTCTCTCTGATTGCCGTTGTTGAGTCGCTGGTTACTCGAGATGCCACAGTGCCCATGTGGGAAATTGTGGAGACTCTAACGCTGCTGCCATCGGGCAGTGAAACGACCTTTAAGGAGGCCGTCATCAATCAGATTGCACGCACTGCTCACTACACCACAGCGACCACGTCGGGAAGGAACTTAGCTCCTGGCAGTGGACAGCTTGGAGAGGATCGCACAATGGCACTGGCAGAAACTGCGGGCCCTGGACCGGTGGTACGGGTCAAGCTATGTCTACTCGCGAATCATGAGCATTGCGGTGCCTACGCCAATGCCGAAAGTAAGTATAAAAAATATATATATTTAAATATATAAAAGAAATAATATATAAAAAAACTAGCTAGAAATATTTACAAATATTGTGCGGCACACTTAGAGAATTTAATGAGTATTTAAAAAATCGAAATATCTAAAGAGTAATTGGGAATTAGTTCAACTTAAAATATAATTGAATAAACATTTGTTTGAGCAATTTCGGGCTTCATTTTTATTTATTTCAGTTCCGGTTTGATTTGTTCACGTTCTGATTTTCTGACTTAAAGTTCTAAACTTCCAACAAATGCAATAAGCAAAACATGAACAATTTATTTTATATATATATTAAATAATTGTAGACTAAAACTCACTACTTATTTATAATGCATACCTAGCAATTTAGAAGTATTTAAATATTTAACTTTAATGCCAATTAAATGCATCAGCTTGCCGCACAAATGACCTCGGGTGGAAACTAGAGCTAAAACACCCAAATTCAGACACATTGTGGCAAGGCAATAAATCAACATCAAACGTTTCTCCCATTGCAGTTGGCAAGTCCTACATGCCGCACAGCTCCTCGCTGACCACATCCGCTTTGGTGGCCATCATCATCGCGGCACTCTCATTCCTTGTGCTTGTCGCAGTGCTCTACGCATTCTGCCGCTGCCGCCGCACGCATGCGGCCAAGAAGCAGGCAGCTGCAGCGGCGACAACGACAGCAACGGCAACAGCAACAACAACAGCGACGACGACGACAACGCCAGCAGTGATTCAAGGCGCCAAAGACTATGATGTGGATGGAACGCTTAACGCTGCAACGGGAGATGTCTCGCAGCAGCAGCAACAGCAACAGCAGCAGTTGCAACAAACATCGCTGCCACCACCACCGCCGCCATATTATCCGACGGGAAGTTTGGACAGCAAGCAGCTGGATGCTGGCATGGAGCTGACTCTAACAGCACTTCACGATCCCGATGAGCAGTTGAACATGCAGCAAAGCGAGATGCACCAGCAACAGCAGCTGCAGCAACAACAGCAACAACAACAGTATCCAATGCAGGCCAAATCCTCGCAAGGACTCTACCAACAGCCGCATCCAAATGGCTATGGATATCATGTGACAAGTGCCATCGGCATCGATGGCGACAGCTATCAAGTGCTGCCCTCCTCCGTCTCTGGACACCATGGCGAGTGTAAGTAGGCAGCTAGGCGCACACTGGTAGTGCAATTGGGTTTGTAAATGGATTGGGCGATTGTTCATTAAGCGTCGTATTTTGTATACCCTGTACACGTTGCAAACTGAATTAGAAGGGAGACAGCTATAATCCTACTAAATAAATTTATTATTATCAGTATATTTATTTATCTGTCTGTCTGTCCGTATTAATTTCCCTTATAGACAATAAAGCCATAATCCATATATCTGTCTATCAATCTATATATATTTTTAGCTGTTCTTATAACTAAAATGCCAACAAAATTATTATGATTAAGATCTAACAAATAATTTTGTAGTTTAATTGAAAAATCTAAACTATAAATGAACACCAAATTAATTAAATTTCAAGCTCTTCAGCATGTAATATGTGTGTCTGCTTGTGTGCAGGGTATTCGTTAGTCGGTCACTCTCGACTCGAGTGCACTTTAACTTGTTTTGTTTTTGAATGGGGCAGCGTAGATTTATGGCTGCCATTTTGACGCCTCTTATTGCCGCTGATGCTCATTCTGCTTTTTGGGCGTAATTGCATTGCCTGTCAATCTAGACATCACCCACCTCACCCCACCCCACCCCAGCCGGTCCTCACATTCCGTAATCCTCACTCCATCGCTCGCCATCTCCACATGCAAATTGTGTGTTCTGCATAAGCAGCTCAGGCAACGGCTTCAGCTTCAGGACAAACGAAATGCCTTGGCAACCAAAATGACATCATCAGCCAGTGATGGAATCGACTATCCGATTCGAGTCACATCTCTGTCTCTATGGTGTTTGTGTACGTGTATGTGTGTGTGTACGTGCATATTCAGTGTAGCAGTCCGGCGTAATTCCAATTAAGTGAGAATTAAACCGTTAGCCGTTTCTTTTGTGCTAGCAAAATTTTAATTGGCTTTAAGCCGATGGCCATGCTTCACAATTGCAATTGCTCTCAAACAGCAGCAACTTATAAAATACAAAACAAAAAACAAAAAAAAAAAATACATCAAAATTACAAGAAAACTGTTGCCAAAGTCGTCCCTTTTGGGAAGCAGTCAAGTGTTTTGAGCCACTTGAGCGGCAGCTTGTCGACTAACGAACACAAGAGACAATTAAAAACTAAATGGAACAAGCGACCAAATCACACTTGGAGTATTAAAGCAATAAAAATGAGATTAAAGATTAAGTGCCAAACTAAAAATCTTGTTGGAATTAACTAACTAGCCTCGAGGGAACAACTGATTAGTTCAAGAAAATGGCAAAAGGACAAAGAAATGAGAGATGGGAGAGAGATATAATCCTGAACTGAAGTAAGACAGAAACCTCATTTCAGACAAAAGCACTAAAAAAAAATGAAATCAACTTAAAATATGTTGGATTAAAGAGCTCAGCACTCTAGTTCCTAATTATATTTGGGAAAATCGGGTGAGCTGAAAATAATCTGACAAAGAAGCTCGAATTAGATAGAAAAGTAGATAAAAATGAACAAAATGAACAAATGAATTATAATTAAAGATATTTGAGAAAAGCGCAGGAAACATGCAATTGTAAAATTAATAGAAGAATTTGGAGGCATCAGCAAGTATTTTAGTTCAAGAATAGTTTAATTACTCAAAGGCAGCGCTAATAATAAGCTAAGAAAACAGAATATTTAAAAAATTGCATAAGCAGATGCAAAAGCAATTGATCATATTTTAGATAGAGTATTAAAAAATATACAATATATGTCTTTATGCCATTATCAAATGCTTCAAAGAAAATAAATACTAAAGGAGCAAGATAACTTTTGGAACACATAGGTCTAAGCACTTTCCGAAAAAGGCCTTAAACACTTTTTAATTATATTCCATGAGCATAATGCTCATAACTAGTAGGAATGCTCTTTCAATAAACGCTTTGCCAAAATTGTTTTTGCTGTTTTGGTGTTTACGTGCTCTTATTTAAGTGAAAAACCCCTAGATGGTAAAAACGTCTAAATAACAGGGACGCGCCAGGACCAGAAAAATGTTTTGATAGTTTTCAGAAACTGTTGAAAAAGTTTTGCGCCTCACTAAAAGGTAGTCCTGTGCCCATCCCCACCCACACTCCATGGCTCTCCCTTGGCACACTCATTGACCAACATTGCCTGCAAGTTTGACCAAAAAATATGCACCACAGAATGCAGTTTAATTGTGTGTGTGTGGGTGTGTAAGTTTTTGGTGTGTGGAAGTGTGTGCTGGTAGCCTTTGGCAACATTGCACTGTGGGCAACATGTGCAGATTATGTGGCATACAATTATTATTCAAAGATAGGGTCGCATTTTGCAGGAAAGAAAATGCTATTTAGACAAATTTCACACGAGCTACAGAAATTGTATTTAGTTTCAAATTTCAAAATTCAGAAAAATTAAAAAATAGAATAGAAATTTGTTCGATTAAAGAATTTATATTTAACAGCTGTTAAATTAAGACATTTTTGAAATAGATTGACTCAGTTAACAACAAATTGAATTTATATTTAACAGCAGTTAACACAACATTTGCTGGTTGTGCTGACATTTTTGACTCCCTCGAATCTTAGCCCTTTTTCGGTCAAGCATTTTGGCCAAAAAATGTGATTTATGGTGCCATTGTACAACTTGTTATTGGGGCTGCTTTGTTGTTGCTGGTTTCATTAGGACGCCGACGTTGTTGTTTTCACCTTTCTATTTTCTATTTTCATTTTTTTTTTAATTCTGCACTTAAATGCGCGTTGCCAACGCCAACTTAATTACTATTTCCTTGCAAACCCAACCCTTTTGGAACATCCACAAACGGAAATTCAACGAAACTGGCGACACACGATGACGTTGTGCGCTGCGTGTATCTGTGTCTGTGTCTATGTGTGTGTGTGTGGATGTATGTTACTGGGTGTGTGTGTGTGTATGTGTGTGTGGTCCATGTGGTTGCAACCAAAGCAGGACCACTTGAGGCGACACCAGTCCCAGCCAACAGCAGCCACCTACAACAAGCACGCGCCGCCAAACTAACGAAGCAGCCCACCAACAACACCAGCAACACGAACACCAGCAGCAACAACAACAACATTAGCAACAACTCCACCTTGAAGCGTGGCAACCTTAGCAGGCAGCAACAGCAACAGCAACAGCAGCAGCAGGTGGTGACCGCAGCGACGGCAGGAACCACAACGGCACTGGCAACGACAATTACAACAACATCACGTAATGCCAAAACCGCAACAACAACAACAACGCTAGCCATCACAGGTAACACAGAGAGACACACACACACACACACACACACACACACAGACACACTCTCGAGTGGGTGTCGAGAAAATATGTTGCGGGATTAGAGAACAGGGGTGGCGCCACCACCACTCTCACAAGCACCACTTGCAGCAGCAGCACCACCACCAACAGCACCGCACACTTGAACTTTGCACCACAAAATGCACACACGACGCCAATAACAAACTGAATAGCAGCTTGCACCATTCAAAATTGCAACGTTTGCTGCTTGCAACACTCATTCTATATATGCACCAATGCACCAATTGTTCTATTCTTCTTCTTCTTCTTCTTCTTCTTCTTCTTCGCCTACTTTTCCACTTCAATGTCACTTTTATGCACTATATACGTTGTAGGTTATTGTTGGCAATAAGCCATTGAGTTGTTGGCCTTAAATTAAGATATGAACAGCTTGAAAATATTTGAGATATTTGCCTGACTTCAATTTTCCTTTCAAGTGCACTGAAAATAAAAAAATGAGGTTTCAATGATGAAGTCACATTCCATATATGGAATATATTATCATATATATATTTAAGGTAATTTAATCATTTATTTAAAATTTATTATTTGCCGGGGAAAATATTTAAATCTGTTTGTTTCTATGAGAACTAGTCCCTCAGCTTTTAAAGTATGTACCTCAATTAAACTTGGATTATATTGAACTTTTTGCTACAGACAGTAAATATATCGAAATCGGAATAGTCTATAGCTGTGATATTTTTCTTTTAGTTTTAGTGATTATAGAATTAAAGTATAATTATCAGCAGCTGCAATTTAACATTTTAAAAGTGGTTCATTGTTCAAGAAATAATCAGCTGATTTCCTTTGATTTTGTTTTTGCTTAAGAAAAATATAAACTAGAAATTTTAATAACACATAAATGGATGCAATATATACATACATATATAATATATATATATATACATATTCACAGAGAACAAACTAGAACGTTAAACAATTACAAATTAAGTTGACTTGCACCAAATTATTTCCAGGGAATTGTCTGAGTTGTTTTTTTTTTAACGCCATTTGCCGAATTCTTTGTTCTTCAGTTGCTGTATATAGTTGATGGTGCCGGCCACCAGTTCTCTTGATCCTGTGACCAGGACATCGAGTTCGTTGCGCATGCCATAGCGCTGCTTGCCATATTTGTCGCGCAGATGATCGAAGAAGGCTTCGATCGAGATGGATAAGTGGGAATTATCGCGAGTGCCGGTCTCCTCGCACAAGGAACGCCAATTGCTGGCATTGCGACGAGCACGTTGCAGCTCCTCCATATCTTTCCAACTAATGCCAGCGTTGCCATTCTCATCCTTGTTGGACTCCTGCTCCAGCTCCGCGACGGGCTCACCTTCAAAGTAACTGGGACTGGGCACAAAGCCCGCCTCCTCAAATCGCGTATTGTGTCGCAGTATAGTCAATAGATCCTTGGAGTTGTATTCATTGACCTTGCTAAAGAGGAGGATCTTTGGGAAGCGACTGCTGCGAGTACGCGTATAGAACCATTCCCGGCACATCATCATGCTCTCCAGCGTATCAGCACAATCCAGATGTACATTGAATATATCGTGCTTCATGATCTCAAATTGACCCCGCCGCTCAAAGAGCTCGAGTCCCCGCTTTGTGCCCGGGGTTAACTGGGTGCTATTATGCTCCAAGCCCGCAACATATTCGGGTTGATAGCGCCTCAAATAATCGTAGGCCAACTGAATGGCCAGCGAGGCATTTAGCTTCACCCCAAAATTAATGCCATTCAGCAGCTGTTTGCAGTCAAGATTGCTCTCGATATACGCCGGAATGCCGGGCACACGATGCAGTTCGACGCCCAATTGCTTGGCACGTTGTCCAAGGACTTCGCAGCATTCCGTTTGACTGGCGCTGGTATAGATGCTGGCATCCTTTTTCATAATCGCCGCCTTGGCCCACGCAATGTCCCGCAACGAATTGCCCAAACTGAAATTCTGCTCCCAGCCCAAGCTGCTAATGCCAATGGTTTCTGCATGTCCGCTTATATTGGTACAATCTCCGGCACAAGCGCTGCCGATCTCCACAATGGCCACATCCACGCTGTCATTGCGAAACGCATGAAAGGCCATCACAGTTAACAGCTTATTGTAGCTGGGAGGCGGCTGCATTTGTCCAAGTTGCGATTGTAACTCATCAAAGAGCTGCGTAAACTTTGTCTCCTCCAGCGGCGCGCCATCAATGCGAATGCGTTCGTTGGTTAGAAAGAGATGGGGCGCACACAGGACACCCGTTTTGATGCCATGAGCTCGCAATATGGACTCGACTAGGAGGCAGGTGGTGCCACGCCCCTTTGTACCAGCTACCTGGATGACAGGCAAACTCAGCAATTGCTCCGGTTCGAGACCCGTTTGACTCAGACACTGCAGCGTATGCGTAATATTTGGATCCATTTGATCGCCGCTGGTTTTCGACACGGCTCGACCCACGACGGGTTCGTGTATTAGATAAGTGTTTAGCTGCTTAATGGTTGAGAGATAGGCTAGACGCTCGGGAGTTTTGGCCACAATCTCAGCGGGTGCTTCATCTGATTTAGTTTCCGTTGCCTCAGTGGATTGAGACTGTTGCATTTTTTGCATCTTTAATTGCTGCATATCGCGCCCTTGCTGCTGCTTGGCCTGCATGTCCTTGAGCCACTGCTCCTGCTTGGTCTGTTGCTTGCCATGCATACGATTCATCCAGGAATTGCGCTCGGAAACACTGCTGCTGTTGCTGCCGACTGTTTCGTTCGGCGATTGTGTTGGCGGCGGCTGTGTCTGTTGAAATTCTTGTGGCATGCCAAATGCTTGTTGGGGGAACTTACTGCCTGCCCCAGCAGCTGTCTTTGTCTTTGATTTGCTTGGCAATTTTGGCGACACTTTTGCCAGCCATTTGTCCCGCTGATCCTTGATATTGATAATTGGCGGCGTCACAGCCTTGGGTTTCTGCAGCTGTTTGGGCAACTGCTTCTCATTGATCGTCTGCTCCTGCGGCTGCTTCTGCGTGTTCAGTGACCATTTGAAGAAACAATTGCTACATCGAAGCATTGGCAGCCGACTCAGCGGTGCCGGTGATTTAAGCAAGAGCATTACAAAATCGGACGTAGTAAAAATAAATCTGGCTAAAATGTTAAGAACGTGTTCCTAAAAATTTAGCAGTGACCAAAATTGTGCTTTGTCTGGTGTTGATTTTTTTAAAAATTGTTTTAAGTGTTTTGTTTAGACATTTGATAAAAGGGTACTGGGAGTCAAATGAGGGATATATTGAATATATAAACCTATATATGACTAGTGAGCTTTTAAATGAATATTATATAAATATTCTCGCTGAAATATTAAAATGATCTTGTTTAGAATCAAAAATGTATTTATTTTGAAATGATTTTCACACTAATTTATTAACTTGGAGAGGTAAATCAAATCTTGTTAAACACTCCGTGTATCCATAAGCTCTTATGAACTATTAAATATATATCAAGTAAATAGTAAGTAATTGTATATTAAAATACTCGAGTTACCTAAAAAGCAATATTAAATGAAATCCAACCAAAATACAATGTTAATTTGGTGGCTATTATAATACCTTAATGCAAGCATGTCAATTTAACAGTGTTGATTTTCTTTTCCAATTTGCACAAATCAATTTTTCGCACAATACACCAAAATCCAAAAATACAAAACAAAATTGAGAAGCTCCCGCTAAGCTAAAGAATTTGATATAATTTAAAGCATTTGAACAGTTTTTGCCCGAGTTGTCCGAGTAATTTAATCCGTCCATCAACATCAGACTAAATTATGCAAAATTCCGTGTATATCAAATGCAGATGGCTGAAACCCAAGACGAAGGCGTTGTTCCAACTGGACAGCTCGACAGCTGGGCAGCTGGACAGCTGGATGGAGTATGATGAGCATGATGACATGGCACCTTTTCTGTATTCCAATTAGCCATTGTGACTTTCATGTTTCCGCCTGAGCACAGCACGCATTTGTTCTTTCCCCACCCCAACCCCGCACTCTTCACTCTTCACTCTCACATCTCATCTCTTTTGCTGCATTAAGGAGCATGTGGCGCAGCAATCCTTTGCTAATTTATGTATTCGTATGTTTGCAGGGTCGAACGGCAGCCAGGAGAATAACTATAGCAATGCACGCGATCTGTCGCAGGAGGCGCTGTGGCGCCTGCAACTAGCCGCCGCCCAAAGCCAACAGATCTATGTGGAACAGCGGCCGCCATCGGCATTCAGTGGCCTGATGGACTACTCCGGCTATCCGCACATAACCACTGTGACCAGCTCGCTCAGCCAACAGAGTTTTGGACAGCAACAACCACCATCGGCATCTGCGCAACAACAGCAACAACAACAACAGCAACAACAACCGTTAACGCCGCACGAGATGCTGCAGGCAGCTCAGCGTTATGGAACGCTGCGCAAGGCTAAGCAGCCTCCGCTGCCGCCGCAGCGCAAGGATCAACAACAACAGCAACAACAACAGCAACAGCAACATCAACAGCTGCAGCAGCAGAAACAACAGCTGGGTGAGTATTTTTCGTAACAGTTTTTGCGAACATTCAATTATTCAATAAATTTGAATGCTGTTGGCGAATAGTCGACTGCGATATACCCTGCAAACAGCTGTTAAATACTGGCTACGTATGATTTTATTCATAAGTAAAGAGTAATCAATATGAAAATGCTTAAGGAGTTCAGGGATAAGTATATTTAACCAAAAAGAATACCTATCCCAGACATGCCAAAGATTGCATACCCCTGCAGACTGAAGACAGACGGAAGGATATCAAAATTCCATTTTAAATTTGCAACATTTTACCAATTGTTCCAATAGCAGCTATGATATAATCGAACAATGTTTTTGCTGTTGATTCGGATAATTTGGTAAAACAAAAAATCTTTTACGGGAACCAAAATAGACTTCAGTTTAATACACTTTAATTAGTGTAATATAAGCCAAACAAGTTTAATCAACTCTTCTTAACAAATCGAAGAAATGAATATTCACAAAATATTACAAATGTAAATCTTTGCTACTTTGGCAATAAATTTGTAAAATTAAAAAACCAGATATCATCCATTTTGTTCAAATCCTTGAAATTGCGCACAGTTGCAGTTCGGCCAAATCAGAGATTTAAGGGGAATTGCGAAATTGTCAGCACTGCTGTTGACCGTTTGTCTTGGCTGGCTGCTGGATAAGCAGGGCAGATGAATGGCTGGGAAATCAGTTTGATTGATAATGCAACTAAGTGTTGCAAGTGCCGACTTACAAATACGAAATAGAATTGCCAAGCAGCTGTGGATGCTGAGCAGCCACTATAGGATGTGTACAATTTGCATCTGTATCCTTTTATGCATGAACAGCAGGATTCAGACACAGCTTGCAAACAACCCCTAGAGACACACAAATACAAATAAACATTTTTGTATATGTACATACATATCCATAGATAAATGCACAGAAAGTAGTCTATGCTGGCTTCTGTATCCTGTTAGTCCTGCCCTTTTCTATCAAATGTTGCTGTTCCTCTTGTTTCTTTTTTTTTTTTTTGTTGCTTCGCTTGCAGCGACAACTATTGCTGCAAACTCCGATGCCCCGCACACCTGCCAGTCCCAGCTTCCAACATGAAATGGGAGTACAAAAATACTAACTGAAAAATAGGAGGAAAGAACACCAAAAACAAGTATAAAAAAAATATATGGCCAAACAAACTGCAGCAGCAGCAGCAACAGCAGCAACGAAAAATTTAAAATGCACGAGCACAAAATATTTTAGAAAATCAAACTCAAACAACGCTGCGAGCTATAAGTGAAGTGAATCACTGAACAGAATGCAATGCCACATGCCCCAAAAAGAAGAAGAAGCAGAAGGAAAGCATACAAAAAGAAAAGGGAAAATGCAAACCAGACACAATGGGAAAAGCTGCACGGCAAACCAGTGAAAATCAGTTGTTGATGGTTGGTGTTTCCATATTTACGACACAATTTATGCTAAACATTCGCTTAGTTAACCCAAGTCATTATTCACTTTTTATTAGCAGAGCGCATAAATTTATTGAGTGCTCAAGAAATTAGCCACAGCTTTTCAAATTTATGACTTAATTTTAAGTTATGAAAGTGAATTTGCCATTGCCACGGAATAAGAGCTTTATGTGAAATATAATTGATTGCACAGGTTGTTTGTCAAGCTTTAAGCTTAAGAACGCTTAAAGCTTTTAAGTAATTTTAAAGTTGTTTTCGTGAGTTAAAGCATTCATATTTCTACGTTCTTAACATTTACTTGGTATTCAAGTAATATGATACAGATTCACTTTTATACTCTTGCAGGCAATAATATAATTAAGCAGGGAAAGCAGAGTTCTCAGAAAGGGGAATGTTTTTATGAACAACTGTTTTGTCGACCAAACTCCCCAGCCATGTTTATCATCCTATAAGAGACACACACATATATATACTCTAACTCCAACCACAACAGCTTTCACAAATTAGTTTTGCCAGACACTCAAAGAGCTTAAAAGTGCCACAATAGTTTCGTGTTTTTACCACTGCAAAATTGCCAGAAAAAAAAGTGCGTTGTAAAAAACACAATTTGATTAGGCTGCTTATTCCTGCAAAACAAAAACAAAACCAAAAAAAAAAAAAAACAAGCAAAACAAACATGATACCACGTGTCGTATGAGTGTTGTGCTATCCTGTAAATAGAGAAAATTATAGGAGACAAATAGCAGAATCAACAAACCCAGCAATCTGTACATCTAAAATGAAGTCTGTGATTTTTTTGTTGTTGTAACATATGAATATAAAATAGGAAAGATAATTAACCGACTCTATAGAAAGTATTGTATGCCATGAAGCATACACTCAGCACTTGAATGTGACACATGTTCGTGGCTGCTTCTTCAATTAGTCAATGGCAAACGTTTGAAGTCAGTGCTTTGATTGTTTTGCTGTCATCCATATTTAGCAGGCACGTGCATTATGAATGAGCTCTAATCCGCTTTGCCACCGAAGCTGCAACAGCAACAGCAGCAGCAGCAGCAATTGCAGAAACATTTCAATTAAAACCAAGCAGTCAAAGTCGAACAGCAACAACAGCTGCCACACACAAACCAGCATCGAAACAAAAAACAATACAACAGCATTGGGGCAGGCAATACAAGCCCAAAAAAAAAAAATGTTCGTTTGTCTCTTGACTGCAATAAGAAAGTAAATTTCAAATGAAGGAAACTAGAAATGATTGGCTGCAACAGTCCGAAAAAAAACCAGAAATGAAGAGGCGCCAAACCAGCTAGCAGCTTCAATTCTTGCTTCAAATTTATAACATCTACAAAGAGAGTGGAAGTTGAGGGCCACAGACAAAGACTATGCCAGAATTGCGTAACAGACAACAGAAAACAAGCTTAAAGTAAATATTGCGCAAACTTGAGTGTAAATTCTTTATGCAACTGAAAATTCTTGTTTTAGTTGCAAAGTTGCCTTTTGCTGACTTTCGCGTCTTAAATACTTGAATGTTGCATATTGCTATGAAATTATAAGATCTTTAATCTTAAAAGTAGTTTGATTCTAAATGTTGCATATAAATATAATGATATTCAAAGCAAATTATGGGAATATCTTTAACGTGTAAACTTTCTTGAATCAAACAACATTCAAAAATAATGTGACTATTGGGAATTATCAAAAAGAAAACGAAATGTAAACTGTTCTCAATTAAAATGATCTGCTGCTTCAATATATTTATATATATTGCTTTCTATTGCCTCCGCAAAGAGTATCATTTAGTCGGATATTGCCAAGAGTGCTCAGTATTCATGTTATGCAGTTTCTGTTGCTTAGTTGTAGTCCCGCTTTTCGTGCTTATGCTTTTTAGCATTCCAACTGCCACGCGCCAAGCAATAACCAGAAAAGAATCTGCAACAACAATAAAAGTTAACTTGAGTTGCAAGTGCAACTCGACTCGACTCAGTTGCAAAGAGAAGAAAAGTTGTTAGTCGGTGCGTTGCTTTTGACGTGGCCAGCGAAAATATTTCGCCATTGTTTGATGCATTTTGGCGAGAGTCGGGTTGTTCCTGCGGAGGGCGGGGGGCGGGTGGATGTGCAGCAATGCTTTGAGTTCTCGATCTTTGCAATTCAATTGCCGCATTTGCGGCTATTCCTCGCGGGGTGGAGAGAAGAATGCCAACGGCGGCAACAATCAGAGTCAAAATACAATGCCAAACATTTAACGTCTCTTTAGATACCCACTTCGCTCTTTTCCCCCTCTCTCTCTCCCTCTCTCTCTATCTCCCTCTCTCTATCTGTCTTTATTCGCGTTTATTTGAGCAACATTCCGCGTATCGCTTTGGGCTTGTTTCTATAGACTGTTTATACCCTTGTAGAGGGTATTCTAGTTTTGCTGTCAAGTTTGCAACCCATTAAAGGAGTATAAATTACGATCCGAATCATTATCTGCCTTTCCGTCTGTTGGTTTCTATATTATAATTCTCCTTTTTCTCCAAATTTATAGTTAAATTCCGATTTCGGCAATTTGTCTCCTATCTACAGAGTATATACTCTTTGGCATGCCTAGAATATCAGTATTTTCTTGTTTTTTTCCTTAATGTCAGCTTTGTGAAACTTTTTGTTATTAGTTTAATGTTTCTAAGAAATTTAATTTTTTAGTCTTTGTTTTCAATTCGATGCTAGCATCAATTTTATGAGTAAAAAATGTTTGCAGTTCAAAGCAATTTCCCGGGAATTGTAAAAAGCTAAGAAAGTAAGAATAAAAAACAAACTGGCACGTTGCAGTATTTGTTTAAGAAACATTCAAAGAGAAATTCTAAAGACATATAATATTTTTAAATATGATTGTCAAGGCTACAGGATATCTGCTAGCTGGATAGTCTTAACCATGAGTCATCCCATCGACTCTGACAACACAAAATTAACAATTAGAAGCATATTAACCGCATCAATTTGCCGGCCAACAACAACAAATAAAGCAGCCAAGCAGAGTTTGAGTTTGCACGACAGATCATTAAACACACAGCAGGCAATAAACACACATACACTCTGCCACACACACACACAAACACACTCTGCCACACACACTATAAGATATGCGCATAGAGCACAGAGAGTACCGCCATTATTTATGCCTTGGCAACAACTTTTGACAAATTTTTTTGCCAAAACATTTTGCGTAATAAATTTATTTTAATTACAACGCCAAAAGTGAGCGCACTTTGTGGAAAGCTGGTGGTGGCGGTGTCGAGAGGCGTGGCACAAGCCACTACTGCTATTACTGTGGTCCGTAATGAATGTGCTTCAATTAAATGAAATATTCATAGGCATAAATACGTGAGAGGGAGCGAGAGAGATAGAGCATGTGTGTGTGAGAGAGAGAGAGAGAGAGAGAGAGAGAGAGAGAGAAGAGAAGCTGGTCGCGCTGAAGCTGGCCAAAGTAGCCACTGAAACCGCTAGGAGCCAGGAGGTAACTGGAAGCCATTGGAATACCTGCGGCCAAGCATGTTTTATGAGCATTGCACACGGGGCGTTAACTGACAACACACACACACACATCCACACACACACACACATACATACTTACAAACTACACACACAATTAAATAACTAGCGAGCAAACAAAAATGATGTGAACCATTAGATAAACTCCAAGACACTCTTTCATTGAAATAGTTTGAGCGTATTAATAAATAGATATTGATTTTCCGATAAAATATCAATTTAGAAAATTATACATTATTATATATAATTTTATTTAATCGATATTTGATTTTTCTAGCCCAACTAACTTAAGCTTAACAATAAAGTTATTTCAATATAAATTGGAAGAAAATTACTGACAAGCTTCTCATAAAGTAATGAAGGCAAAAAAGGCAGACATGATGAGAAAACATACTGTTAATTATCTGAAGATGAGCAAAAAGTCTCTTCGGATTATAATAGGCTTACTGAGAAACCAAAAAATAATCTACACAATGCCTAAAATTGTGCCATTTGTGGAGTAAAATTGGCGTAAAATTAACAAGACTTCAGAACACATTCATTCTATACGATTGTGTGGCAATAAGCAATTGTAAGACTCTCTCAGCTAGGGAACTTCTCTTTTATTTTACTTAAATGAGAGCTATTTGATTAAGGACAATCATTGCACAGTTTTCAGTATCATTTATAAAACTCTAACTATAAAAATAAATACAAATATTTAAATTGTTTACATCATCATTTCATGTTACATTCTCAATTATGTTTTTAATATTTCTCATACAATGTGATTTTTGTTTAATTTTAAATCATGTTGAAGATGATGATTCCAGATGTGAATAGCATAAATTAACTCATGCCCTTTTAAGTTAAGGCTCTTGAATTATTAAAAATATTTTTCTTCAGGATTTTGTATAAAAAATTAAAATCTCATAGCAAAGTTAGTTGCATAGTTCTCATGTACAATATTGGTTAGAGTATCAAAACCCCAAATGGCAAAGCATCAGCAATTGCCCATTGGAGACCGTTTCGGAGCTTGTTAATTATGGCATAGCTAACTGCGCGCTATCCGGTGGCTTGCCTCTCAATTCTGACGGGGAAACTGTGACCTCCGGCGTCCGGACATCGGCTCTATGCATCTTTCAAACAATTTACCAATTTCGCTTTGTCTATTTTGGGTTGGTTGTGTTGCTGTGTGTACGTGTGTGTGTGTGTGTGTGTGTGTTGACTGACCGCTCATAAAATGTTTATTAGGTAATGAAACATAACAACAAGCGTTGCACACATAAATTTCAAACGAGCCTTTTGCACTTGTTTGCACTGCGCTTCACAAGCTCAATTGTGCTTGTTAATTGAGTTCTTCACGCTAAAACTCTTTCAGGCTGAAACAATCGCCCATTCACCATATATTCGTTTATTATTCTAGAAATTGCTGCAAAGCATATTTATGTTTGAAAAGTATATTGGTTTTGAGCACGGCCCATAAAGCTGTCGGCAGCTACGAATATATATTTTCATTCATGTACGTACAGATTCTTTGTTTAAATTTAAATATAATATAATTTATCTTCATAAATTGTGTATTTAACAATTGAACTAAATACGTGTCTAGAATTTTATATACTAAACAATAAGCTCAAAACACAACAGACTCGCCCAACATTGATAGAAATTTTTGCGTGCGCAGAAAAGTATGCTAAAGTATTTTTTATTGTGAGCGCAATGCAACCGCATGCGACAATTTGCAGTTCCACTTGACTTGAAGTGTGCATAGAGATAAAGGGGAACGGTGTGTGGGGGGTAGACAAAGCGGCAAGGGGGTGGATAACTGTCACGAAGTGTGAAGTG